TGGGTCCTGGTGACAACAGTCTGATTGGACCCTTGAGCACCAATCAGCTCATAGCTTGCTGCGGGCTGATGCTAAATGGTCCAATCAGACATGTGGGTGGGGCCTCAAGGTGAACTGGAAGAGATGATACCCCTCCTGAGGCATGACCCCATGCTCAGGACACCTCAACAGAGCCCAGTTCCTGGGGTGTAGATGTTGTTAATCAATATCTTTAGATCAGAAACCTGAAAATCCTGGGGGGCAGGACCGGCTCCCTTCCCATGTGTCATGGTGCTGAATGTGGATCCAGGCCCCACCCAGACCTCCAGGTTGCACTCGCCCTCCAGCTCTGCGCTCCCACACGCCTGAGGTCGCAGGGTCAGAGGTCGTCATACGTACCCCCATGGAGGGAAGCTGCCCGCAGGACGGCCAGCGGATTCCCAGCAGAGGCAGGAGCAGGGGTCAGCTTCCTGGCATCACCTCGTGGTCATTTGTGGGGATGGTCACTGCAGTGTGGCCCAAGCCGCGGTCCACCCGCCGGCGCTGAGCTGCCAGGGCGGGTTTGTCTACACCAAATCACTCCCTCATCTCATCTCACACAATTTCAGGGGCCCTCGCTCTCGAGAGGGCAGCTGGCACCTGGAGTTAGGCAGACATCCGGGACTCCAGCGTCCCCGGGCAAGGACCGGCTTAGCCACCGGTCAGCTTTGCAAGCACGCTCAGGAGCACCTACAAGAACCACGTCCCTGCACTGACCTGGGCCCACAGCCTGCGCCTAAGCCCCGCCCCTGCCTAGAGGATGTCCCCGGGGCCCCCCCAGTGCAGGCCGTGCCCCAGGCCCATGTGCTCAGAAGACGAGGTCACCAGACCAGCCCCCGCAGAGAAGCAACGTCCCAGTGCGTGGCGGTGCCCCCCAAACATGGGCCTGAAGCCACAGAACTCCAGGCCCCTGTGGGAGGCAGAGAGCACCTTGTGGGAAGTCGACAGGAAAGGTGGGGGACATTCCAATTCTTCCTCCCAAGCCAGTCTAAAAATCGATGTGCGCGTGAAGCCGTGCTGGGTTATAAATAACGAACAGACACCTGCAGAGACAGGCCCGTCCCGGCAGGCGGAGGCGGCCCTCCCGCTCCGCGGCTCCCGGCCGGCCGTGCTGCTGAGGGCCGGGGGATGCGCTGCCGGCTGCCCTCCCCGCCAGGCTCAGCCCCGGGCCGGCACCGACCCGACAGACCTCCAGCCGGGGCTTCCCCAGCTTCAGAACGTTGGAAGAGCGTCTGCGTTAGCTCAAGGCTAAATAGGTAAAGGCCAAGTGATTGTAAGCCAGGAGCCGCAGGGCCACCGGCCCAGCGGGAGCCCCCACTGCGCCCCCGGGCGAGGGTTCTGGGACAGGGCAGGGATGGGCCTGCCTTGTGGGTCGGCGAGGCAGGTGGGCTGTGCTCGGGCGCAGGAGAGCGCAGGGGCCTGGTCCAAAAGGCCTCTCCACAGGGGTCCCCCGGAACCTGCTGGGAGACAGTGAGCTCCACTGGGACGTGGGACAATGCCGGGAGCCTCACGGAACCTCAGCGGAGGCCGAGCTCTG